AGGTACCGCACATAGTTTTTTTAAGGCACTTGATTATTGTCAATCGTTATGAGTGGACATGATGACTTTCCTACAAGAGAAAGTCACGTGGGTGGCTATTATTTATACTAATTTTCTATTTTTTTAACCATTTTGAAGATCATAGATTTGGTAAGAGATTATATATGAAATAGAATTAAATAAACTATGAATTTAAATTTAAATCTGGAGTAGAGATTTTTTTAGAAATAACCTGAAATTCGAAATTTTACAGCTCTCGAAAAATTTTCGTCTAGGCTGAATCATTTGATATTTTGTCGATAACCACAAAAAGTTTTATAGCATTAGGATACCTCAACAGATTTACTCAAAACTTATAAGATAATTAGGGTTTTTAGGGGACTACACGAAATAGCACAAGCCCAAACTAAATAAACAAATTAGAAACTAAGATATAAAATGAAATTATTGAGACTTTTTCCTTAATTTATAGCTTAAAAAGGAATTAAATTAATATTTATCGATGTGGATTAGAAGATCAATAATTCAACTTTCCAATGGTTGTACTAACTTTGAATTTGTAGAAAATTCATAAAAGTTAAAATTGTTACCGATCGAAAAAAAAATCCGCTAAGAAAATCAAATACTAAACTTTGTAATTTTTTGTTTCTATAAAAAATCATATTTAAGAGTGATATAGTACACTAAAAACGAATATAACTTGATTTTTTTAAAATAATCATTTACTTGACCTACTAAATAATCATTTACTTGAACCAGAAACTTCTTATGTAACGACTTGTAATTTATAATCACATTATAAATCATTTAATACCTTGGTCAATATTTTTTTTTATTCTACACTGAAGAAGAAATCGATTAAATATATATATATATATATATATATATATATATATATATATATATATATATATATATATATATATATATATATATATATATATATATAGTCATTACAGACTATCTAGATCTTTTGTCGCCTTAACAAGCCTTATCTATCTCTGCCTGTCTTGAGCTATTTCTTTCCATTTATCTATCTTAGGACGGTATTTATCCTATGATTAGTAATAAAATATCTATTTTTAACTGTCTCTTATAATCACCTAATAAATATTTTAAGCCTCTTCATATCCATCTCTCGACAATTCCATTCACCTAATATAGATATATACCTTTAAAGAATAGGAAGTGTCATTTATTACTTTGTGATTCTATCTATACATCTGCTTTTGGCCTTCCAGGTGGTCTTTTGCCTTCTATTGAGGCATTCATTGATACGTATAAGCTTCCAGATGGATTGCTACGAGCTACATGCCCCTCCCACCTTAACCTCCGTTTCTTCATATCAGGGGATATTGATAGACCAGTTTCTGTAGTGTCCAGGTCTCACAGCCATTATGTTAGAACTGGATCTATCATAGCATTTTGCACACTTAGTTTGAGATTTCGTAACATTGTTTTGGTTTTCGATACCTTTGAGAGGGAGAAGAAAGCTCTGTTTGCTCTAGTTATACGCTGGTTTATTTCTACCCGTTGCTCATTCATTGAGGTTGTTGTGGAGCCGAGGTATTTGATTTTTTCTACTCTCAAGAATAATTTTTCTTCTACGCAGATGCTGTTATTGGGGTGGAATTTTCGGCTTATAATCATATTTTATGTTTTTTCCATAATTTATAAGAGAAGCAAGAAGCCGACAAGAGAAGCAGAGCAACGGCCTACAAATTTACTCTGCTTCTCTTGTCGGTGTTGTAGCGAGTTTCTCGATGTCTTCTTGATTCCTTCCAAGGACAGCTATATCATCTGCGTATCCAAGGATTTTATAATTCATTCCGACTTGGACCCCTCCATTTTCCTGTGATGTTGCTCTTATTACCTTCTCCAGGGCTAAGTCGCACAACATCGCTGATAGTCCATCTTCCTGCTGTAAGCCCGTTCAAAATGAGACATACTTCCGCATGTATTAGGACTCTACATTTGGGGACATTTGTACAAGCCTTTGTCAATTTCACCAACTCACCAGGAATTCCCAGTTCAGTAATGGATTTCCAAAGACAGCTCTTGTCCACCGAAGTATCGCTGCGTCGAAATCGAAAAATAGGGTGTTGACGCCTTGAGCTACTTCTTATCGTTTTTTGAATATTTGTTTTAGGATGAAGATCTGGTTTAGAGTACTCCTCTCTTTTCTGAATCTAGTTTGGTTGTCGCCTATTATATTATCGATATTATATAATAACCTAAAATCTGGACAAAGCAAAGACAAAAATAAATAACATAATTTTGTTTTAAATTATGTAAAATATTTTTTCTGGACACTTAGGGACCATTGGAACGAACTCTGGAACATGCGTCCAATATTTTTCGATGTAGTATCGCTAAACAAATTTGGTTGAAATCGGTGACCTGACTGTAAACTCTCCTTATGGATTGAAACCTTTGTCCAGATCAAATTCTAGTTGGTGGATCAGAGCTTTCACGTTATATATTGTGTCCAATCTAAGTAAAAGAGATTACAGAAGTTCATTACCGCATTAAGTCGTCATTGAAAGCAGCCATACTAAGGATTCTCTAAAGTTGGGATAGACAGAGTAACCTATTGTGCTTGGAGAGCTGGTGCGTATTTATACTTCCCGTTAGTTTTAGCGTATTATAAAATTCCTTGGAGCTATTGCTGATCTTCGTTTCCTAAAACAGATACATATTTTATATAATTTCCCCTTATCCATTCACATTTTATGGCGTCATAAAAATCAAACCGTAGAACCGAACGGTCCACTAGTTATCTTGGAATGTGCAAAATCGTTGCACCCTATCATCTTCAAAATAATGAGCCATGTGTGGATGGAGGCATTGCTGTAATAATTTCTAATTTTAAGCTATTTAACGGTATTAACATTAACCATGAACTGACCTTGTGCAATCAAACCTAGAATTTTCAATTAAATACTAATTTTACCTCTTTCTCCTATTACATACACTCTTGACCGGTTATTCCGGCGTCGTATGTATCTTTTTTTAAGGCGTTATCCATCTCTCACTAGTAGTATTTACCTTTGTAGAAATTATTTTTATATACTTTTTCCTAAAGTAATTTTTTTTTTTACCTTATTTATTTGTCTTACTTTAAAATTTTATAAACAGTTCATTCATTATTTATTAACTACAACTGAACGTAGACAGTATGGCTGCAACTGAAATTTCAACGTTTTTTATAATTAATAAATAACTGCAACAATACAATGAAATTAGCAAAGAAACTAAAAATGAATTAACAAAAAAATATAAAGGAATATTAAGAGATAAAAAACGTAAGTGTTAGACATAAAATAAATGGTGTGACGTAGCAGCTAAAAGATGATATCTTAATATTTCAAAAGGAAGTGAGATCGACATAGAATATAACGTAAAACAGAGAAAATGAATACAAAGTTAGGCCATGGGATAACTATCGTTTGTTTAAGTTTCAAAAACGAAAGTTTTGCTATTTATGATAGTCTCTGACGATCAAAAAATCTATTGAATAGTTAGATGGAGGAACAGCTATCCATTGGATACTTATAATATAGTAAAAAAATTTATGATATTTTTAAGAAATAAAAAAATATGAAGGTATGATTACTTAGCTCCTAGTAATGGACTTTTATATTCTTAATAAGTGAGTAGTAAGTGAGGGAACTATACAGACCACGGATCTATTGCGCCAAACAAATAGATCTTGAGCTATGTTACTTTTACAGTTATGGTAAAGTATGGAGCTTCACTAATTTTGTGTTTTGAATGTACAATCTTGATTATATTGTACAGATGTACATACGAATAACCATACTCCGCTGATGTCGCTTATACGTCAAATGGGTTAGGAAGAATGACAGTTATGTAATGTGAGAGTTCTTGCGTGGGTTTAGTAGTCCCAGAGGTGTCCAGAAGAGGGTTTCACGGCGCAAGTTGCGTCATTAAAAGTTTTGAGGGGGACACATTTTGACGGAGTTTTGAATTTTTGAGAGGAACACATTTCGAAGGAAAAAAAGAAAAAACATGGATGAGACCACAGCAAGTGTAATTGTATTTGATCAACATTGATGTCTAAATCGTCTTTCGCTTATACTGTTTTTAAGAATAGGAGAGCAATAAAATTTCGTGAAAAGGGGGTAGAGAGATTTATTGTAGATTGGGATTTATGCACCATCGACCTTGGGAGGGATGGGCACCTGTGAGTGATACACATATATATATTTTGAAACTTATTGCTTAACTGTTAAACTAAAAGAATATTTTACAATAGAGTAAGATAATTTCTAATTAAATAAACAAACTCTTCAACATAGTCATTATAAATTATATAGCTTCAACTGTTTGTGTTCTATAGACTGTATAATATTATGTTTGTCATTCCAATGAATATATTTTCCGAATACCACTCATAATTCGAAAATTAGTGAGGACACTTTTATTTCTGACATTATTCACCGGCCCTCCTCTCGTTTCCCGACAAAAAAGGTGGAAAAAAAATAATTCGAAAGTTAGAAAAAAAGGAAAGATATTTTATTATTTTTATATTAAAAAAAAAATTGTAAATACTTATTGTGAACATACTTTTAATTTCTTTGTTGCTAATTAATTTCACTCCTAATAAGTAAGGGAACTAAATAACAGGAATACAACAACTCTTCTACAGCAACCCAATAGATCACAGCGAATACAATGCTAAGTAATTAAAAGTTCACAGATAGTCTTATTCCTTAACTCTCCAACTGAAGAGATATTTTATCGTGGAGTTACCTATTTAATTTTTAAGTAAACTGTTACTTCAACAAAACTAAAATATTGTTATTTATGATAATCTTCGGCGAACTATCCGTTGGGCACTTCGGATAATATAGAAAAAAAAAACTTTAAGAATTTTAATAAATATAAAAATATTTAGGTATGACTTCTTCACTGTAGTAGTAGGAATACAGTATATTAAAATGTACTGTAAAAATATATATTTGAAGTTTACTTACCAAAAATGATGTAGAATACGATGAAAAAAAATAAAAAGGTCTTCCCATTCTTCAATCCTTCTAGGCTTAGTTTAATTTTTGGAATTACTGCCATAAGATGAGAAGGTTAGAGCAAGTATTTAAAAACATAAAAAAAATCACTCAACAAAACCACTGTTCCCCTGTCTCTATATCATATGTTACCGTGGTTTCTTGTTGTTTCTATAATGGATTATTTGTAAATAACAATCAGTTATATGGGTACCGTTGAAAGAAAATGTTCGAAAATAGAAATAAATCAGAGAAAGGGTAGTTAATCTCTATTATTAATAGTCGGAAAATATTATTCTTTTAACAATGAGTGCATATCATTATCTGATTTTTATCAGCCAGTTATTCGAATTTCAAATTTTTGGACATTGGCCCTTTATATTTTAATGTACAGATGTATAAATATGTTTAAGGATTCTGTGGGTTTGTTCACTAAAAAACTACATACGAACAAATAAATCTTTATTAAATAAAAACACTTTGGTAAAAAAAATTAGAAAATAAAAACATACCTCTGAATTCACATGCAATAATATAGAAAAAAATAAAAAATCAACTAAAGCTAATAGTTTAGCTTTTAGTAAATGTGCACACTTATAAAAGTAAAATGCATTACAATTACTAAAACTTAATACGAATTGCTTAAGTACAACTACTGTAATCTGTGTATACCTAGTGAACCAAAAAAAAACTATGTAGCTTGTTAAAAAATGTGCTAGCACAAAAAAAAAAACAACAGGCAGCTAAAATCGATCTTTCGATCCAAAGAGGTTCCACCAGCTTGGGCATGATATAGGCTAAGTTGTGCCGGACGTTTGTCATTAGACAGAACCCTAAAATTTGAAAATATATACAGTTGAGTATGTGTGAGTTATTTTAAGTACATGTAAGGGACAAATCTGGCGTAAGAAGGAGTGACCTAACGCCACAATAGTGCGCGAATGTTACTCACTAATATAAGAAGAGATCTCGTTATTCTACTTTTTAACTATCGTTCTTCATTCATTTATCGAATTATCGGAGCGTCTTGTCGATACGTCGCAGGGCTCAGTTTTCCTAGCTATCATCATTACACCAAAAAAGTTGTCAAAACCTTCCAATTTTTCGAAAAGTTCGGATAATAGACAAGCGCATGTTTCGTTGTTATTTAAGCAGACCCTACACGGTAATTCATGAATGAACGTCACAAGAAGTGCCAAGATTGCCCGCTATCGCTTTGATCATGAAGACCCTTACACGTTCAATCATTACTGATCATTACTTATGTGAAGTTTCCACTTTTTTTTCTCTCTAATTTATTGCCTACTTGACTATTTAAAGAAAAAATAGTTGAAAATGGTTAATAATAATATAGACTAGTGATATAAACAAGTATTTACTTTTATGAAATTATTTACTTAATAACGAGACCTAGGTAAACTAACCTATATAGTAGTAAGGTTAGTCTCATAGAAAATCGTTTTGACAAAAGTTAGTAAAATATAAGTCTACTACTTACAAAACTTAAGGAAAGGTATTGCGAAAATAATAAATTTGTTGAAGAAAATGGGAAAAGAACTGATGAATATACACAACGTTAAGTTTTTTTTTCCTAAAGTAAATTGTGAAGTTTCCTCATTTTTTTTTTTTTTATTTGTTGTCCACTTGACTATTTAAGAGAAATAGTTGAAGATGGTTAAAAATTATAAACAAGGGATATGAAAAATTATTTAACTATTTACATATAATGAAAATCAGAAATTTATAATGGTTGTGAGGCCTAGGTAACCTAACCTATCCAGCTGTATGGTTAGTCTCCCCACTACTTTTACCTCAGTTCCCCCTCCACTTCTCGTGAATGAATCTTTGATTTCCGGATGTTTGGAAATCCGCAGCACACCACCATCAGTACCATTCACTACCTTACACGACAATTCGGAACGTCATTAGTGCAATTCCGATTGACCGTGTAGGGTCCCCTTTATGACATTTTCACATTAATTGAAGTGTGAGATGATGCTGAACAATTGGGTACGATTTAATTTTGTATAAACTTTTTTCAACCAATTTTGAAATATTACTCTTTAGAATAATTCTTACACCTCTTTAGGAGATTTTTTAATAGTATTACTGATAAGGTTTTATCACTTAAATGTGGACCATACTTCAAATTTTGAAGTCTTGATGAGCTCTAAGTGAGTTCTATAGTTCTCATATGAACTCTAGAGTTCTCAATTTAAAAAAAAAAAATAGTTCTGTTGTTTTAACCGCTAAAAAAATAACATAAGAATGACAGGAACGCATTGTACAATTTGTGTTTTATTTTGTCTATACCACCGGTCCCCAATCTAGAGCGTGAGTGACAATACTCTTCACATCACAAAATGGTCTGTGCTCGTGTGTGTTTTAACGGTCAACGGTTTGACACATACAGTTATCTTGAAAACGGCTCTAACTATTTGGTTAATAGAATAATTATATTTAGTGAAAACTAATATTATTTAAAAGAAATCACATGTTTCCAATAAAATTTAATAACTAATTGTAAACTTTTAAAACTTTTTTAAGTTCGTAAAAAAGTATTTAAAATCCACATAATCAATGAAATAAAATTATTTATAAAACTATTTGATTATACTTGTGTGAAAGAAGAAGCGAGACAGTTCCTTGTTGGGTGAGCTTCTCAATGACAAATGTTTCTTTTCTTTTTACGAAAGTTAAATTAATCTAACTTACCTATCTTAACTAAAGTTAATTAGTGTTAGTTATATACAAAAATGTCTATCTAAATTTATCAGAAAACTCGTCATCAGACCAATGGACTTAATGTTTCATCCGAAGACAAAATACTTTTTTCTCTATTAGTAAAAATTCAAATCCAGGAAAAGATATATAAAAATGATTTAACACAATCGATACAGTAAACGTACCATGGAAGGTTAGTATAGTTGCCAAGGATAACCCTTGGTAACTTAGTTTTTCCTTCGAAGTAATGCTTAAGCTCGACCGATCAAGTAAAACTCGATTGCGAAGTTTACTTGTTTTTCGTTTGAGCTACGAGTGAAACTTGGTCTAATCTGAGATAACGCTTAATCTAACGCTTACTGTGCTGGATCAACTGGCCCTTACGGTAGTTTAATTATTCTATATCTGATATTATATTTAAATAATTAGGTATCAACGTCAGTTTATTCCAAAAAATCGTCATGTAATCTTTTAGAAAATTAAATAAGTGAAAAGTCGATGAATTTTTCCTTTGTGAAAGCACAACATTATCCACTTACAATTAGTGTGACAACTTTGACCTATCTATAGCAGGCCATTAAAATCTCGTAATTCCATTTAATTAAACGTTACAATGAAAAATAATGGTATAATAACTAATAGGCGTAAAATCCATAATCATTTACAGATTGAATATACTGATACACTTTCAAGTCTCTCTAGGCATTTATAGCTCAGAGAATCGAGTTCTGTTCTGTTTACAAAAACATATGGGGTAACGAGGTTTTCATTGCCTACCTTTTTTATAATTAATAGGATTTTTGTTACTTTAATGGTCTTGATGATTGTAAGCTGTAAGCTTTTAGCTGTTGTTTGGAAATTTATTAACCTTGAACGTTTGATTTTTTTTACGTTTGAACACAATGTGAAATGTATTATTTTTAATTGCAGGCTAAACAGCTGTTCTAAAAGGTTTTAAAAAAACAGATGTTAATTATTGTTAGTTAGAAAAATTGTGTGTTTTGAAAAACTTTGCTTTGTAAAATTTGCTAAAGTATAATTGTGTGTATGACTTTTTTAAATTGTACTCAATCACTACTTTATTTAGAAGTTTCCATTTTTATTCATCTATTGCATTACGAGAAAACTATAGCTCCATTAAAAATGCACTTCCAATTTTATTATAGCATAATTATTAGAAAATAATTTCTAATCAAAGTAGAGCGATAAGTAGAAGTTGTGTGTTGTGCGCACCACATTTTTTTTTTTTTTCATCGAATCAAGTATAAAATTAGCTTGGCCATTAAGTTTTATTTATTCTTGCTTGAATTTGCTCATCTCTGTCTTGAATAAGTAATATTTTTGTAAATGTACTTCAATTATTATATGTTGTAAATCATGCACTTAACATCAAGTGCATGCTAAATATTTAAATAATATATATAATAAATGAAAATTTACCCTCATTCTTACCCTCTCACAGGGTTAGCTGTTAATCTACCTGTTATCTAGAAGTTATTATCTGTAGCTCTTTTAAAATGCGCTTCCAAAATTTTATAATCGCCCAACATTACCAGAAAATAATTTCTATTGAAAGTAGAGCGGTAAGTGAAAGTTATGTATTGCGCGCACCAGTAAAGTTGCTTTTTTTTGTAAAGTTTACGAATTTTGCTAAAAAAGCAAAAAAACATAGTTAAAATCGGACAATTTGGAGCAAAGATATGGTGTTATATACCTTGTATCTAAATATCTTTTATATGTTCTACTGCAAAGCTTACATCTTTTGTTTTGGTTTTTTTTTTATAAGTTTTACATCAAATATGGGTTTGGTGATGAACGTGGGGGTGGCCCTAGTTTTGAGCTTGTAGCTGGAGGATATTTACTGCGCGGAACGAATGAGTGCGAGGTAAGATGAAACACCGGGTCCGCTTTTGGTGAGATACGTCCGGCAATCACTGAAGGATGAGATTGTTCAGAGACGGAAGATGTTCAGAGACTTTTCAACGCGCCACCTGGGCTGGCAAAAAAATGCCTACAAAATATACGTCAGCTAAGCGATGTCAGTAGCCAATAGACACCTATCTTGGTTAGCCCGGCAGAAGAGGTCTACCGGGATAAAGTACGTATGGTTTAATGGGGGCAAAGTTAAATGTCGCAATAATGATGGCTAGCAGGTGGTGGTCATCAACTCCCCCACTGATCTAAACATATTTACATGACAAGTAGATGCCTGTCGCTTCACTGTATTCCACTCTGTTTTTAGTTCTTACTTTTTTCATTCCAAAGTTCATTTTTATTTCTATCACACTTACTCTTTATCACATTAAAGTAACAATATTATTTTTTCTAATTTTACAACATTTTAGGTTTGACTATTTTTATTTTTAACGTAAAATTAACTCATATCGCCCAATTTTTTATTAATTATTCTC